TTTTTGTAATTTGCCGAGCTGTATGGTAAAGTAGCCTTTTAAGGCTTCTAGTTAAGGCTTATTACCTTAATCTTAGGTTAAACTGATTTCGAAATGTTTTTTTTTGTTGTATATGTATGTAACTTCTTCTTGCGTTATTGTTATATTTTAGTGTTTATATACCTGTTATGGACTCTTATGTCTTTTTGGGAATGAACAATAAATTTAAAAAAAAATTAACACCCATCGTTTAATGTTATTTAATTTTTTATATTCTATTTTCTATAACATGTTATTAATTCACNAGAATTGTTAGAAGAAGCTATGTATAAAATTTCAACCAAATATTTTCATAAATAATGTATGTTTTTTGTAATTTGCCGAGCTGTATGGTAAAGTAGCCTTTTAAGGCTTCCAGTTAAGGCTTATTACCTTAATTTTAGATTAAACTGATTTCGAAATGTTTTTTTTTGTTGTATATGTATGTAACTTCTTCTTGCGTTGTTGTTATATTTTAGTGTTTATACAGTGTGTCCCTGGATTGTGTCCCCGTAAGGTATAATTGACGATAAATTTTTGAATTCAAATTCCATCTTTTACAATTAATGTCTGGATGTCATAAAACGAAATATAACCAAGTTTTACGTTAAATGTCCTCAAAGTACCAAAGTTAACCCAAAAAATTTGTNGTTCAATTATAAATTGGCATTAGAAAAAAAAAACAGATTAGGATAAAAAGTCAACGAAACAGTATAAAAAGTAAAGTGAAAAAAAAAAAATTAAATTATCAACATACATACATACAATGGGGTACAATCAGTCAAAAGAAGAGAAGGAAGTCATTATAACTCAAGTCGGTAACAGCGGAGGTACCACGACAACAACCCCTGGGACAACATTTACAATGTGGGAAATAGGAGTTTTCCTTGTGGGATTGCTGTTTATCATTATAATTGCTCGTTTTGTGTGGATAAAATGCAACAAGAGGATGGAGAAGAAAATTCGAAGAGAGACCAGGAGCCAGGAACTAATGGAACTCAACGTTCGTACAGATTAACTCGTGAATTTGGGTGCCGAGTGGTCTTTGTAACGGTCAGTAAACAATTGTTTATTATTTTATGGATATTTTAAAAGAAATTAAGAATTTATTAGATGAAGTTAAGGCATTTAAAGTTAATAGAATTAAAGATAATCAAGATAAGCGTANAGCAAAATGCAGATTTTTAAATCATAAGATTAACAAAACATTTTCGATCTAAACTAAATTAACATAAAAGGTTATTCAATGATACCACCACCAACACTACATAATTCAGCCCTTTTCCAACATTGTTTATAACTTTTCCAAATATGGCCCAACGGAATTTCTCTAATAACAGTTTCAATTTTTTGTTTGAAACGGTCTAAATTGTTATTAAAATTTTCAGTGTACACTTTTTGTTTTACATAAAAATGATGTGGTCCGCACATCTACCAATCAATTTTTTCCAAATAACGTATTTAAATAATTTCTAATTAAAATAGTCGAATGTGGGCCGCAACCATCTTGTTGAAAATATAATTTATTGCGTTTTTCTAAATCCACGCCGTGAAGATAATTAAATAAACAATTTTCTAGTATTTCCAAATATCGGTGTTGATTCAAATTGCCGTTTATGAAGTAAGGTCCAATAACACCGTCCCACGAAACAGCACACCACACATTCACTTTCTGGGAATACTGGCGTTTACAAGCTATGCGATAATGTGGATTAGTCTTTGACCAGAATCGACAATTTTGTGATGTAACCACTCCATTAGTGGTGAACGATGCTTCGTCCGAAAATATTATGCTTTTTAAAAA